CATGGCTTACCCCAGTTCGAGTACAGGACCTGATGGCTTACTGTCTCGCTTTCTCTCTCTCTCTCTTCCCCTCCCAACCCCAGTCAACTTAAAAATAAAGTTAAATAAAATAATTCTTTAAAAATATATAAATGACAAACTCAACACAAATAGGTATTTTCAAATTAGTCCATAGAAAGTAGACAATATATTTGAAAAACATATTGCACATGAATCAGTAATAAAAACAAAAATCCCTCACCATCACCAGTACAGGCTTCTTCAGAAATATAAATTAAAAAGGTGCCATACTTGAAACCAGAGAGTAAGGGGTAGGTGTGCAGGCATACAAATGCAGCCGTTACAACTTCTTCCTAAGAAAACTATCTCCATGTATCTGCCTCACTTGCCTATTGGATTCCCATCAAAACCGTGAGTAAGTTTAAGAGTCAGAGGTGGGACCAGCAGTTGGCATAATGGCTATGTCACTGGACTCCCATGTAGTCGACCACGGTTCGAGTCCCGGACTTGGTGGCTTAAAACTCACACCGGATGAGTGTGGGTGCATGCCCAAGATCCCGAGAGGAGAACGAAGGAGAAGGGACTGCAGCGTGGCCATCCCCCCCTGGGGGGTGATTTCTCGCTTTCTGCCTCTCTGTCCCTCTCTGTCTGGTGAGTGCACGCACCCTATAGCAAAAACCTCTCCATGAAAAAAAAAAAAAACAGAAAAAGAAAAAAGAGTCAGAGGTAAGGGGCTGGCAGGTAGCATGGTAGTTAAGGTGCTGGACTCTCACATGGCTGACCATGGTTCGCGTCCTGGACTTGGCAGCTTGCTTTCTCACTTTTCCTCTCTCTCTGTGTGTTACCCCTGGTCAAATTAAAAACAAAAAACAGAATGATGATGAATAAAATTAAATAATTATTTTTAAAAAAGAGTCAGAGGTAGAAGAACAAAATATGGAAAGGAGAAAACGCTAACTCAAAAGTGACGAAATATGGCAAATACCACCTTTGACAATATGAAGATTAACATTCTCAGGGACATCATATGGATGTCACATATCTGTTCTCATTCAACATGAGAATGACACTTCTTCTCTGTGGCATTTTTTTTTAAAAAAATCCATACTGTAAGGGACAATAGATGGCATGGTGCTAAGACAGTGGACTCCCACATGGCTTACTATGCTTTATAATCACACCAGGTGTATGTACATGCACACCCAAAATCTCAGGAGGATAATGGAGGAGAAGGAATTGCAGCATGGGGTATCTCTCCAGGGAGGTGATTTCTCACTTTTCCTCTTTTTCTCTGGTGAGCACATGTGCCCTATGGCGAAAACCTTAAAAACAAACAAACAAAAAAATCCATAGTATGGTATAATGCGAAAATTATTAGACAAACCTGAATTGAAGAATATTCTACAAAAGACCGTACCAAAGCTCCTTAAAAACTATCAAGATTACGAAAAATGAAAGACTGAAAAATTGCCACCAAAGACCAAAGGACATGTGAAAACGAAATGCAATATGGTATCCTGAGTTGGATCCTGGCACTGAAAAAGGACATTATGGAAACGCTGGTGAAATACAAATAAAGTCTGGAGCGCAGCAGCTAATAGTTACGAGCCAAGGTTTGTTTCTTAGTTGTGACAAATGTACCTGCTAGTGTAATATGTAAGCCACAGGAAAAAGCTGGGTGAGAAATGTACCAGAGCCCCCTGTGCTAGAAGTACTCTGTACTTTGCAAATTTATGTAAATCAAATATTATTCCAAAATAAGAAGAGTGACAAAAAAGCCAGTGGCAAGTATTGTAGGAATCTATTTCTGACTTTAGAGACCCCAAAAAAGTAATCGGGCTTGAGCGAATGTCTTGGTAATTACGAGCAGAACACAGTACTGCCCAGGGCACAGTAATCTCTACAACTCTGCTTCTTTTATTACCTGCACTGAAATATTCATCTTCTGAGAGAGCTGTCACTTCAGTATCCAATGGGATAGGGTCACACAAGAGAATGTCTTTGCCCAGTACGTCACACTCATAGCCATCATCAAAGAGCAATTTGTACTTTCCAGCTCCAACATCTCGTGTAATCTTCCCAGAGTAAAAATAGCCATTGGATGACCATTTGGCTACAACCCGGAGGCCCACAAAGCTGTTCCCTGGAGAGGAGGTATCTAAGCCATCGGAGGGGGCAGCAGCAGCCTGGAAAGGAATTTCTGGAGAGTCGCTGCGACGCAAAGCACCAGTACTCATGTCTGCTCGCCTGGTGGAGTCTGGCACTCGGGGCACAATACGGGTGAATGATTTATCATCTGGTGACATGCTGGGCGAAATGTCCTCTATGCCCAAGGGGCCAGATACAGCTGTTTCTCTGAAGAAAGATAAGAAATAGGAGAAGGCAGTGAGAACAAGAAGCGAGAAGTACATCTACCAATTTTCCCACTCCTTTGTCCATGGAATCTCTCTAGCCCATTCTTTGAAAACCCCATCACAGGCATAAGCCTGGCTCTCCGTGGCCTTGCTCTCATCCCTGCCCACTCCCCAGTCAATGTGGGCCCCTCTTCTCCCTCCTGACCCCCACATACTCTCTTCTCCCCTCTTTTCTCTCTGTTCCCTTTTATTTTTTTCTGAACAAGTCATAAACTAAGTGTATCTCACACTACCCGGGTACCTGGTTCCAGTGGTCCGAGAAGGCGGGCGGCCCCTTCGCCCGCGCCCACGAGGTGTGACTGGAGCCTTCCCTCCCTGTCTGATGCCAAGGCCTGCATCACCATCCTCCTCACACACTGGCGCCCCTGTCTGACTGACCCCTTTTCTAGGACTAGAGAATGAAGACAGGTTAGTCTGACAGCACTTGCTACTGGATCCTTTCTTCACAGTCTCCCCTTGGCCCTCAGATTACACACCAGGCCTACATGTGCTGGGCCTCCAGGGCAGCAGGAAGCTGGCTCATTCATCCACTACTGAAATCTCAGCCAGGAAGTGGGGAGAGTGGGATAACAAGTGAAGGACATCCTCTTCTATGGAAGTCTATTCCCTCCTACCAAAATTACCTACTGCTGCCCTTAAAGATAGTACATACATTCCTACCCTACCTTCTCCTCTACTTCAGGCTCTGGACATCTGCAGAGGGGATATATCAGGTCGGGACCCAACAGTCCAAACTTCCAGTACTCCCAACCACAACAAGGGCAGACTGCGGATTACCGGGATAATCGCAGCACGTACCCAGCATTCCAAAGCCCCCTCACCTGTTTTTCTTTATTTTCTTAGGGGCTTCATTGCCAGCAAAGTCTACCTCCCACAGGGCTCCCCTACCTTCCAAGTCAACCCAAAATAGCAGAAAATAAAAGGGAAGGAAGAGGAGTTTCCTAGATGGAGGATGGGGATTTCCCATTACTCCTCTTTTCCTGCGCTATTAAAATGTCAGCTACCCTGCCCCTGCTGTGGTTCTCTCTCTCTGGAGACCCTGTCTGCACCTCAGTTTTCCTGGGCCTCCTCGGGAGCTGGGTAAGGCAAAATCTGCGGGTTCTGTCCCGCTGGCTTTCCCTTTGGGTGGTCCGGCTCCTCTCCCTGAGCTGCCACTGCTGTGCATGGCTGAGAGACTCGTCCCACTTGACGTGCGGTGTAAGCTGGATGCTTTGGAGGAGAAGGAGCTGATATCCCCCAGGTCACCTGAGGAGCCCCCAGTCTGTGAAGGGGAAACTTCAGTTTCACACTCCTGACATTCTACAATTGGCTCTTCAGTCTCCTGCAAGGAAGAAATGGATAAAGCTAAAAGAAGCCACAATAACATAAAGTTAACATGACAGTAAGAAAATTCTAAAGACGGGACCAGCAGATAACGTAATGGCTATGTCACTGGACTCCCACGTAGTCAACCGCGGTTCGAGTCCTAGACCTGGTAGCTTAAACTCACGTCAGGCGCATGTGCGTGTATGCCCAAGATCCCGAGAGGAGAATGGAGGAGAAGGGATTGTGGCGTGGCTATCCCCCTGGGGGGTAATTTCTCATTTTCTTTTTTTTTTTTTTGGAGAGATATTTGCTATAGGGCACATGCGCTCGCCAGACAGACAGACAGAGACAGAGAGATAGAAAGCGAGAAATCGCCCCCCAGAGGGGATGGCCACACCGCAATCCCTTCTCCTCCATTTTCTTCTCAGGATCTTGGGCATGCACGCACACATGCCCAGTGTGAGTTTAAGCCACTGGGTCAAGGACTCGAACCGCCGTCGACTACGTGGGAGTTCAGCAACATAGCCATTACGCTAACTGCTGGTCCCTCACTTTCTGCCTCTCTCTGTCTCTCTGTCTCTCTCTGTCTTTCTGGTGAGGGCATGTGCCCTATAGCAAAAACCTCTCCAAAAAAAAATAAATACACAAATCCTAAAGAGAACAAGAAATTTCAATTCAGAAAGGTGGTAATTGGGGCCCAGTGGTGCATTCTTCTAAGACACTGTGCTCTGCAGGGTGGGACTACCTTAGAGACCAAGATTCACTTTCTAGTCCATACTGAAGGTTGGGCATCGCATAACCCCAACAACTCAGGGGGGCTAAGACACAAGGGCATGAGCTTGAAGCTGACTAACCTGGGTAACACAGTGAGACCTCGCTGTCAAAAATTTAATAATTAAAAAAACAGCCAGATGTAGTGGCATGTGATTGCAGTTCCAGCTGGGAGGCTAAAAATCAAGATCACACCCTGGCAAAACCCTTTCTTTAAAAAAAAAGGATAGTCCCATTAAGGTGACACAGCCATTGCACAGCAATGCTCTACAATGCTAGAAGCCACGGAAAAGGTAAGGTTTCAGTTCCCCAGTTGATCCATACATACCAGATACACGCATGGTGACCATGATCCTGGCTGGATGAGAACAGCTGAGAGGATCACAAATGAGACCCTGTTGACGTACTTGGCTTTATCACTCTTAAAATTTAATTTTGATAGTGTGTGTGCACAAGAGAGAGAGGGAGAAAGAGACACACTCACCAACAGGGTCTCATCACACTGCAACCTCCTTTGCCCAGCCCTCTAGTTCATCACAATTTTGGGTGTGTACATGCACCTACGTGCATGCTCAAAAGTCCACACACACACACGCATAAGCCCAGTATGTTTTCAGGCCAACGTGGGAGTCTAAGCCTGTAGTTGGCCATGTGGCTTCTAGCACTGCAGTTCAGTATGTTATTGTTCTAAGACCTTTCTCTGCCTCTCTCATGAAAAATAAATGAATAAAATAAATACAAAGAAAGGTGGGATTAATTAATTAACTTCCTGGAATAATGAAAAGGTTTTACATCTGATTTGAGTAGTTATATAAAACTGTTAAGAGCCACTGAACCAAACACTCAAGATCTTGTTTGTTCAATTGGGAGTATCTCAATAAAAAATAAAATAAAGATGGTACCAGCCTGTATACCAGGGTTTACTTCTCCCTGAGCACAACCTCCTACATGATTAGTAGGCAGAATTAAAGTATCTGAGTAAAATACTTTACTTATCTATTAATAAAAGGTTTCTTATCTATTAATAAAAGGTTCCTCGATCTTAATTAACATACATACCAATAAAGTTCCCAAATCTTTATTCTAGAAAGATTCCCTAATCTCAGCTAGCATTAGATATAAACTAGGTCAGCATATGATGCTATCAAATATAATAGTCAAAAAATGCCAACACTATGCTAACACTGGAAATGAGTCAATAAAGAATCCCTCTGAAAATAAAAGTGCTGAACTCCAAGAGGAGAACATGGAGAAGGGACTGCGGAATGGCCAACCCCCCAGGGGTTGATTTCTCACTTTTTTTTTTTTTCTCTCTCTCTCTGTCTCTCCAGTGAACACATGCACCCTATGGCAAAAACTAACTAATAAAATTAAATAAAGGTGACTCTCTTACCAACAGGTTCGTGACCACATATGGATGGTGACCAAAAAAGAACACAATAAAGAGATATGAAAATATGTCAGGAAACAATGAGAAGTGATGAGGAAACAAATGCAATTACAAAGGCAGTTTTAAACTTCATTTGGGTTTCCAAGGATTTATAATAACACACAAAATCTTTATACATGAGAGAGATTTATCAATCTGTTCTTTATAGAAAAGAAAAGCATGATGGACTGGCTAATTAACTGCCCAAAACTCAAATATCAAGTTCATGGTCGGGGAAGACACAGAATGCCTGCCTTTCATTTCTAACCCATTTTTTAAAATCTCTTCTAATAAAAAGATAAAGCAAAACAAAGTTAGTACCCAGTTGCACAGAAAGAAGGAGAGTTATTTGTTACCTCAGTTACTTTTCTTTCTACTTCTGTTCCATCCACATAATACACATCTGTAATAACACGAGTGACAAGTGTGCGCACTTCTCGGATTGTTCTCATGTGGCGATGTAAGACGTGGCCATGGGGAGGCTGAGGCATATCAAATTCTTCTTCTCCCTATGACAGAATATACAGAACATAAGCACAGATATCAGCACAGGGTCAGAATCACAAATCAACTTCCCCATGATTAGCACTGCTCAGAGGTTTCATGAATCTAATGTGCGAGAATTTTCCAGCAGCTTTATTTCCTATTCACCTATAAATAAGATGAAGGACAGGTCAGATATACTACATGGCCAGAGGCTAGGAACAGTGTCTTTTTTTTTTTTTAAGAATTATTTTATTTAACTTTATTTATTTATATTTAAGAGGTTTTTGCTATAGGGTACACACGCTCGCCAGAAAGACAGAGACGGACAGAGAGACAGAAAGCAAGAAATCATCCCCACCAGGGGGGGATGGCCATGCCGCAATCCCTTCTCCTCCATTCTCCTTTTGGGATCATGGCCACGCACACACACACACCTGGCATGAGTTTAAGCCACTGGGTCCAGGACTCGAACTGCAGTTGACTACATGGGAGTCCAGCAACATAGCCATTACGCCAACTGCTGGTCCCTATTATTTTTATTTGACCAGAGAGGGACAGAGTGAGCGAGTGAGAGAAAAAGACAAAGGGAAAGTGAGAAAGCAAGTCTCCAGGTCTGGGACTCGAATCATAGTCGGCCATGTGGAAGTCCAGCATCCTTAACCATGGCCCATTGGGAGGAGTTTTTATCACGGTACCCATGGTTAATAATTACTTATTTCTGTCCAGGTACAAATCATATTAATAACACGTAGACTTATATCTAGATATTTAAATAAAACTTGGACCCCTAAAAGTATATTTTTAGATTAAAATCCTTCTGATTATGACAATGACTTATTCGTTGGTATACAAGTTTATACTTACAACAGCTCTTTAGGTAAAAAGAAACTATTTTTTAGTCCTTTATGTAAAACCAGAATGATGCATCTGTTAATCTCAGTGCAGTTTGCTTTTCCTACATTAGTAAGTGAAAACCAGTGAACAAGGTACACTAATCTCTCCCAGAATTAAGTATGAACTATTTAATCTATTCTTTTCTTTTCTGAAAAAAAAAATAATTATTTTATTTAATTTTATTTATTATTATTTTTCAACTTGACCAGAAAGAGAGAGAGAAAGTGAGAAAGCCAGCCACCAGGTCTGGGACTCTAATGCTGTCAGTCATGTGGGGTCTAGCACCTTAACCACCACAGCACCTGCTGACTCCAAGAGTTTTGTTTTTCTATAGGGCACACGCAACTCGCTGGAGAGAGACAAAAAGCAAGAAATCACCCCCCCAGGGAGAGAAGGCCATGCAGCAATCCTTCTCCTCCTGGGATTTTTGGGCACACAGACACATGTGCTCTGCATGAATTTTAAGCTGCTGGGTCTGGGACTCAAATTGGACTAGGTGGGACTCCAGTGACATAACCATTATACCATCCGCTGGTCTCTAATCTATTCTTTTTAAAAATTTTACTGCAGGGAGTTAAAGGAAAACACTGGCACTTGGAAAACCTCCCTACAGCCTTTTTCTTTCTTTCTTTTTTTTTTTGGAGAAGTTTTCACTATAGAGCGCGTGCGCTCGCCAGACAGAGACATAGAGACAGAAAGCGAGAAATCATCCCCCAGAGGGGATGGTCACGCCGCAATCCCTTCTCCTCCATTCTCCTCTCGGGATCTTGGGCACGCACGCACACGCGCCCAGCGTGAGTTTTAAGCCACCGGGTCTGGGACGTGAACCGTGGTCGACTACGTGGGAGTCCAGCGACATAGCCATTACGCTAACTGCTGGTTCCCCAGCCTTTTTCATTTTCAACCATTCTTCAAAAGATGATGCACCAAATCAGATCCATGCTATTCTATACACTATATATTGTTTATTGTGATAAAATCCGTATAACATTTACACTTTTTTTAAAAGTTCTGGTCATAGGGCATGTGTACTCACTGGAGAGAGAGAAGGAGAGCCAATGAGAAGAAAAGTGAGAAATCACTCTCTTTGGGGGGATGCTCACACCACAATCCCTTCTCCTCTATTCTCCTCTTGGAATTTTGGGCACATGTGCACACACACCCAGCATGATTTTTAAACTGCCACTTTCAAACTGTGGTCACCCATGTGGGAGTCCCCAGCAACTTAACCAACATACCACCTCCTGGCCTAAAAGTTACCATTTTTAAGTACAAGTTTCTATGGCATTACATTCTATGGTTACTGTTGTATAACCATTACTACCATTCATCTCCAGAATGTTTTGGTCTTTCCTAGTTAAAACTCTACATATCCACTACCTACATTTTTCAAGCACTGTTCTTTTTTTAGCAGTGCAACTAACTTTCAACTGTATTATGTCATTCTATGTGGCATAGTAGAGTAGTACAGTATCAGCAGTGGTTGTGCTTGGTGGCGACATCAGTAGCTGTAGTAATTAAAACAGTAATAGGCAGGAGTGGCAGCTAACATATATAAAGGGCATTTATTATGTGCGAGGCCCTAGTGTAAATGCTTTGCATGCCTTATCTCACTTAATCCTTACAACATCCTAATGAATTAGTCTAATTCCAAAACCTGAACCTTAACCAGGCCTAACCAGCTCACTGCATCCTATCATCATAAAATACACAGAGTACACCCACAATCCCCGCTGGCTGAAAACAAGGGGGTTTGATTACAGCATGACAAATACTTTGTCAAGGCTATCAACCTGTTTGTCTCTCAAAAAATTAAAAACAAAAAACTAAACTAAAAACAAAAACTAGTAGCTCTCACATAACTGTTCTCCTTAAAATCAAGTTTTCAAAAAGAGGCACAGAGCACATCAGCTGATAATCATCCCTGCATACCAGAACTGCTTTCCTGAAACTGCACTCCCTGGAGACTCACCTACACTTGTGGATCTGCAGGAGATCCTCCCTTAATCCAACCCTGAGTGGAGTTTATGCTCCCTATTGCCAAAAACTTTATGAGCTGATGGTTGGAACTCGTGGCCTCTCTCCCTTTACTTGTATGTATCACTTTTTCAGTAACTCTTCTGGAAGACAACTGTATATAGCAGGGATATTGTAATGGGAGAGTGAGACAGGGCAGAGGGACAAACATAGGGAAAAAAAAAAATTAAAAGAGGAAAAAAGAGAGGAAGAGGAAAAAAAACATATATGTGCATAAGCAAGAAAGTAGAAGTGGAATATTATTGATGATAACATGCTTGATTGGGTCACTGTGCAGTCTATTCTAGACGGGAAATTACATTTAGTACGCTGTGATGATGCGCAGGGAATGAATGTTAGGTAAAAAAAAAAAAAAA